CTGAATCTCTAAAAGTACTGAAGCTCTAGACTGAACGTCATTTCGCTGTTGATTTCTCATTTCCAGCATTCTGCATGCCTTGCCTTGGAGTACTGAAGAATCTATGGACTGAACGTATGAACAAAGGTCATCGTACATGTCCACAGTAACTTTTTCAAGCCATCTAAGCACTAAACCAGCCCTGATTTTCTTGAGAGGAAAAAAAAGGGAACAATCCTAAACAATGGACTACTACTAGAGGGAGTTCTTCATGGAAAGGGCAAAAAAGAGGTGTGAAACTTCAAACTTTCAGACAAGGCGTCTCCGTGGACGTACGACGCAATCATTGGTGGCATGCTTGGCTGGCTCATGCGAGGAAGCAACATTCCGCTCCATTCTTCGTTGCGTGTGCAGGGAGTTGTGAGGAAGACTCCTCCGATCCGGCTTGCCGTACGTCGGCTGGGAGCCAGGGACACATGACAGCTCGTAACCATTCAGGCCTTTTGCCCTCGGCTTTTTCTTCCTATGCTCCGGTCGAGTGGTCGACCAGGCTGCCTTCAGCTGTTGAACAAGCAACGACGGTGTAGCGTAGCGCTCGCCGCTCGGTTCGCTGATACTACGTGCCGTGGTAGGCTGGTAGGCGGGCAGGTGGCAGCGTTGTCGACCTGCATGGCTGCATGCAGCAGCACGTGGCCCTCTTGTCTGTGTACGCCAACACGACCGCCGCTGCGTCGCCGTCGCGTCGCGTTGGGCCGGCCCATCAGTAGCCCAACTCGGAACACACATTTTGGTTTGGACTTTGGACACATGGGCAAGGCCGCAAGCGGAGGGGATCCAATCGTCCGTGGTCGCACGTTGCGGGACTTGGGCACCGAAAGACCAAATGGGCCCAACTAACGTATCGTGGGCCGTGGCTCCGCGACAGAATGTTCGGTCGTTACCGGACACCGTGCTTCCGCTTGTTCCAGGCTTCCAGAGCTACTCTCGTGGGCCCGCCAACAGTGCACCGGCAAAGCCCACGGCCTTTGACGCACTTCTTTATTTGCTAGTGATTTGTTTCAAAGTGCTGAAGAGTATCTGACAGGGTGATCTCCGGAACTACGGACAGGTTATCCAGGAGATCAATGTGAGGAAGGAAGTTTTTAGTAGTGTCGAGTTTGTACATGAGCATAGGGACTCAAACACCGATGCTCATAGAATAGTTCGTAGCTTAATCCATGCCGAGGTAGGACGTCATGTGTGGTTCTTGAATCCACCTGATGGTTTGTGTAATATGCGCAATCCTCCTAATAATTGAATAAAGAGGGCGGTGTTGTTTAAAAGAAATAAAATCTAATTTAACTCCCTCAACTATAGATAGTGGTTGTCTGATTTTTCTTTCTAATCTATAAAAAATAATTTTTAACCTCTCAGAGGAGGCAAATAGGACTAAGTTCAAAGTTAATGAGATAACGGTTTGCAAAACCACCACCAAAGTCGCTCAGATCACAAAAAAGCTCAAGTCACAAAAGTTAATGAGATAACGGTTTACCTCCTTAGACTTTCAACTTAGTCCGATTTACCTTCTCTAACGTAGCACCGCTTCAACAAAACCACCACCAAAGTCGCTCAGGTCACAAAAGTTAATGGCTTGCAAAAGTTGAGGGAGGTTAAAAGAATTGGTTTTAAAGATCAGGGAGAAAAATCGAACGACCATGGTAGTCGGGGAAGGTAAATTGCACTTTTTCCTCTTTATTCCCATATATTTGTTATAAGAATGCCCATATCTACCCTTGCATATGGACTCATACCAAAAACATCATTGAGCTTGGGAGAACTACTTCCTTGTCCTAAAAAAGGCTCTCCTTTCTTTTTTTTTGGCCTTTTTAGTTTTGAAACTTGCATGTTTGGCCTAAAATACCACTTTGGTTCTTTATTTGGCCTTTCTGTTAGATTTGGGCACTAACGGTGTTAAATGGAGCTTGAATTGACGCTTTTAACCCTGGGCTAGTTACGCAAGTGTAGAGTTCAGTTTTGATATATTTCACTATGAGGATTATTTAGATTGTTTTCATGTGGTTTGAGGCCATCATAATTGCACAAAATGAGGTACACTATTTTTGAACATGAAAGTATTGTTTTTGTCTATATTTTGCACGTGCAAAGGAAGTAATTCTCTCAGCAACTATTAGTTTGTTTGGTTGCCCATATCTGAACTACATGGATAGAGGTGTTGCATGTGTTGGTATGCCAACCAATGGATGTAAAAGTGCTCAACAAGCCTGACTCACAGGAAACATGGATGAAATCCATGTCCCAAGCCAGACTCGCAAGATGTAGGTAAAGATTAATGATCTCATTAGTAGATGATTAGGATAATTTGAGGAATATCAATATATTTTATAGTCAATTAAGGTTTAATATGCAAATTTAAGGTGTGAGCGTCATGTTTTAATTTTACGCTTCAACTCACAGTAAACGTGGATGAAATCCATGTCTCTAGAGGCGGACTCGCAAGGTATAGGTAAAGATTAATGATCTTATTAGTAGATGATTAGCATAATTTAAGGAATATTAATATATTTAAAAGTTAGTTTAGGTTTAATGTGAAAATTTAAGGTGTGAACGTGATGTTTTAATTTTACGGTTCAATTTTCAACGTAGTAGCACGTACATATCTAGGTTCGAACGAAGTAGGAGAACATATCCTTCTTTAAAAAAAAAATAGGCAATCAATTCTGCTAAATTTTTGAAGATAACCTTTTTTTGAGCAGAAATTTTGAAGATCACCTTTATCTGCTAGTTTTTTTTTTTTAAGGAAATGCCAGGTAATGCACTCATTGGTACATCTTTATTTTAGAAACAAAATGAATGAGTAGGAAAATCATTTAAGTCAAAGCCAATTCGGGTTCCATGGGAAGGAGGCGCTACCCACATGAGAATTCACATATATGGTTGACATTAGCACCTTTTTTAGTACTCTGAAGCTAATCTCTCATTGTTTTCGTGCATTAAGCTCAGGAATAAACCTGACCCGCTAGCAAATAACATACGTTCCATCCATCCAGATAAAGCCCACCCTGTACAACCTATTTCAACCCGCCATATTAGCAGGCCTAGCTCTAGGCCCAAGTTTAGGATCATCCCACATGACAAGGACACAAGGCAGGCCCGAACACCTTGAGCTAAAAAATCAAGGCCCAATAGCAAATATACTTTCGTGGGAGATGCATCATGCTAAGAGCAATTCCAACTGAAATCTCAAATTTTGGACCGGTTTGGCAGGGCCCTGGCTCTCAAAACTTAGCTCCATATTCCCTCATCTGAGAGCTCTTCATCCATGTTTTAGACCATATTTCTCATAGCTCTTCAACCGATCTTCTAATTTTTTTCCTACTTTATACTATACTAGATATATGCGTGCGTTGTACGTGGACAACGGATTTTTATCCATGTCCATGGCAATGGATGTGGTTTGTGGTTTTGACGAACATATTAAGAAAAGTCTACAAATTAATTATATAAAGCATATTTCATGATATTTATTATCACATATATAGTGTAGATCTAGTTTTATAGAAACCAAATTGGTTTTACTTTTTAATTAGTACTTATGTGATTTATTATTATACATTTTCAGAATTTAATAAAATTTTAATAAATATTTTTGCATTGGAAACCCTACACTATTTCTAAATTCATCTAGATTTCCCTCTCAAATGTGGTGTTATTCTCCCATGCAAACCACCACGCAACGGACTCGTCTGTTACGTGCGGGCATGAGGACTATCCGTTTAGCCCACGGTCGCTTAGACTAATGGGCCACTTTGTTCCTTTGCTGCTGCACGCGCACACGAGTGGGGCGCAGAGGTGTGGGCACGCACCCACGAGCAAGCGGGACGAGTGTTTGCAGGGCAGACGATTACCTTCAATATTTTATAGGTGTAATAGATTGTCATGGACCCAATCTATCAGCTCAACTTGTCGGCTTTGTGAAAAGAAAGAAAAAAAGTAGAAAGAAGGACGAGAGACTCCTAATACTATATATACGTCTAGTGTTTTTCCTTAAAGGAAGGACATCTAGAGGGATTTAGAAGAGAGAAATGAGAGCCCATGGATGGATCAAATAGGGTCTTCAAGAGTTCAAGTTGCTCTAACGAAGGGTGTCGGCCGCAGCTGAACAGTGAACAACACGCCAGGCCAGCTGGTTCGCCAACTGCTCGCACCTGCCTTATCCGCCAGTAGCTAGATTGGGCGCTCCTTTTCCTTCCCTCCCGGGCTCCCCGTCGTCTGTTAGCTCCAGTGGAAGTGAAAATCATAGATCCGGCGGGCTAGTATTATCCTCGAGTGTTCTCTCCAGTGGAAAGGTGATCGCTCCGACAAGGGCTTGGCACACGGCATTGCAATCATCAGCGACGCTAGGCCGCCAGGCGCCAGCGAAGGAAACACGGGCGAGACGAGAGACCCCGAAGAGGCCAGCCCAGACAACCACAGTCCACAGGCCGTGCCCTGGACCCAGGAGAACGAGACGGCACGCACGTCCCCTCCTCCTCTTCCTCCGGTGGCGACTGGGCCCCGACCGACCCGACCCGTGTCCCTCCCGTGCCAGGACCGGATAAAAGGGGGCCGGGCCGCCCGGCGCGACGGCCTCTGCCTGTTCGCTCTGTGCTCGCTGCTCGGCGTCCAATTCAATGCGCTCCTGCGCAACGGAGCAGAGCAGCGGCCTCCTCCTCCAGTCTCCGGTCTCCAGTCTCCACCATTGGCTTGAGCTCAGCCATTCAATGCCCGCCCGCTCTTGACTGAAGAAACGCCCCCCCTTTCTCTTCTTTAACCGCCCCGTGTCATCACTGTTTACTCGTCTCGTCACGCAGCAAGGCAGCAACAGGAGAGGTCGAGAGGAGAGAGGGGGATTGAATTGAATTCATTCGTGGAGTTGTTCCGCTGAGGGAGCTCCTCCGCTCGTCGTTTCCGTCTTCTAGCTGGAGCTGGGCGCTGCCATTGCTGGGTTCCTGTTTCTAGCTCTCGGTGGACCGGAGTGGGAGATGAATTACCTCCGGAGCCGGAGCCTGAAGCGGCTCCTGTCCCTGGGCCGCCGGAGCAACGCCGACGAGTGCGCCGAGGAGTGCGTCGACGTCGTCGTCGACCCGCCGCCCAACAAGCCCACCTGGAGGTGCTTCTCCTACGAGGAGCTCGACCAGGCCACCAATGGCTTCCACCAAGGTACTGTAAACCACATCGCCTGCCTCTGTTTGTTTGTCCTATGCCGCTGTTCACGCCGCCGCGCACCCTTAATTTTGCTTCGGCAACTGACGTTGCCTTTTCCACACGCCGCACTACCGCAGACAACATGGTGGGCAAGGGCGGGTACGGCGAGGTCTACCGCGGGGTCCTGGACGACGGCCGCGCCGTCGCCGTGAAGCGCCTGGCGCCGACGGCCGCGGCGGACGAGAAGAAGGAGAAGGACTTCCTCACGGAGCTGGGCACGGTGGGCCACGTCCGCCACCCCAACGTGTCCGCGCTCCTGGGATGCTGCGTCGACCGCGGCCTCCACCTCGTCTTCGACTTCTCCACCCGCGGCTCCGTCTCCGCCAATCTCCACGGCAAGTCCATCCTGTTCATGTCCATTCATCCGCCACCCACCTAGCGACCATGCACGGGTGACACTGGCAGACACCGCCAGTTCGTTCCACCGCCCACGTCCACGCGGACGTGCTCTCGCTCTGCTCTGTGCCGCCGTTCACCATCAATGAATCGTGCGCAGACCTGAAGCTGCCGGCCATGTCGTGGAAGCAGCGGCACGGGATCGCCGTCGGCACCGCGCGGGGGCTGCGCTACCTCCACAAGGGCTGCGCGCGCCGGATCATCCACCGCGACATCAAGGCGTCCAACATCCTCCTCACCGCCGGCTACGAGCCTCAGATTTCGGACTTCGGCCTCGCGCGGTGGCTGCCGTCGGAGTGGACGCACCACGCCATCGCGCCCATCGAGGGCACCTTCGGGTGAGCGACGCTTGCTTTTCACGTACCTGTTCTGTTCACTTGGACTTTGTGACAATAATGCAATGCAAGCTGGCGAAGAAGACACGCTGACACGGAGGGCAATGGCAATGGCATGGGCGGTCGCCACGCCACCTCCTCTGTACGTGATGACAGGTGCCTGGCGCCGGAGTACTTCACGCACGGCATCGTGGACGAGAAGACGGACGTGTTCGCCTTCGGCGTCTTCCTCCTCGAGCTCATCTCCGGCCGGAAGCCGGTGGACGGCTCACACAAGAGCCTTATCGCGTGGGTGAGTGTCCACTGTCCAGCCATCCAACAGTAACTGTGCGTGTGCCACTTCTACAGTTTACTCATGTCGCTGTGGCTTGATGGCTTGATGCAGGCCAAGCCCTACCTGAGCGACGGCGTCGTGCAAGGGCTCGTGGACCCGCGGCTCGGCGACGGCTACGACGCCGTGCAGCTGAGGCGGCTTATGTTCGTCGCGTCCCTCTGCGTCAGGGCCGCCGCCGTGTGGCGCCCGACCATGACACAGGTGCGTGCGTTGCGTACGGAAACAGACAACTCTCTCCGCATCTTTTGCGCTTTGCTCTTCTGTTCTGGCTGAAACTACACAAACTTCAGATTTGTTTTACTGGTTTGAAATGACAAGAAAACAAAGAACTGTCCTTATTGTCACTGCAACAAGTAAATGCACATTGCTCTTTGCTTTCAAAAAGGGAAAGAAAAATTCAACCAATTTACTATGACTCAACCAGTGCAGTAGCTTTGGACAGTGGGTGGCCTACTTGTTCTAGAGGAATAGGATCCAGCTAAAAATATTTGTTCTCAAGGGTGGTACAATGCCATACCTTGGGTAGGGTGGGTCTGACTGACAGAGCCTAGCATCCCGGTCGTTGAAACGCCTGGGTCACCACCAAGAAAATCTGCATCTGTGGCCTCCTTTTTTCTCGTCTTTGAAAGATCAAAATCTCCAACTGTCGTCTCCTTTTTCTCGTCTTTTGAAAGATGAAAATCTCCAACCATCATCACAGAGGACAAAAGCCGGGGACATCTTAATTCCCATCTGGTGGTCTAATTGACCTGTTGCTTGATCGGATAACTAAACAATGGAATTCTCTGGGTTTCAGCAAAGGACAATAATGATGCCATTACCCTGAAATGGGCAACAAACAACTTTAGGTTTCTTCAACTAGATAATCATACACCGGAAAAGGACCAATAATTCTTCCTTTTTTTTATGAAAGGTTGTGGCCAAGATTTTCCTAGAAGTTTTCTGCTCACTTCTAGCAAAACCGAAAAGCGTACGGTTAGGTCCAACAGTTCTATCATAGTACTACCATACAAAAATCGGGTGAACAGCGGCAACACAACAGAGGTTAACGGTTGGTGCAGAAATGTTCCAAGTATGTGGTCTGAGAAGTATCACAGTATTTTATAGTATGAATTGGAAGTTATACAATCAGATGAGGTAATGATTCAGTTATATACTCTGATGAAAACATTAGTTATGTCTGGTGCTAGGTAGCTATCCCACTTAGGCATAATTCTGCCTAGTCTGTTTGAGCTTATTAAACCGGATTATCCGTATATGCTTCGTCTAACCAGACAACTGAGAGCAGCCTAAAAACAGCAGCAGCATATACTAGTACTGTATCTGTATCATCCACTTTGGACAGTGGCTGCTACGGTTGTTAAATACCGCCACCGCGTGCCATGTCTGTTGTGACAGCAGGGGTTCTTGTTTAGCACACTGGCATTGGCATCTACCGATCAGCTGGCAAGTAACACTACACCCAACCTGATTGCATAGGGCTTGTCCTACTCTATCACAGTGTGGTGAGATCTCAATTTTTAATGTAGAGCTGCTTGTGTGATTATTGGTTTACACATTGAAAACAACCCCATCTCGCCCCTGCGTCGCTCTATCACAGTGTGGTGAGATCTCAATTTTTAATGTAGAGCTGCTTGTGTGATTATTGGTTTACACATTGAAAACAACCCCATCTCGCCCCCGCGTCGCTCTCCCACGCGGGCGACACGGGCGGCTGCACCCTCCCAAACCCTAGCAGCCGCCCCTTCCCTCCCCTCCCCATGCCACACCGCCGGCATGGCCACGCGGCTCGCCGGGATGGCGGTGGCGAGGCTCCTCCTCTCCTCGCGATTTGGTGGCGCAGGTGACAGCGAGCCGGCGGCTCTCCTCCCACACGGGCTGCGTGGAGCCCGGCGGGGGCATCCACCGCGGCTGTTGGCGGCGCCGGCTGGTGTCCGGCTGGCGCGTGGGGACGGCGGCGGATCCCCTTCTCCCTTGCCCGTCCCTTCCTCCAGACTTGGCGGCGGCGGCGGCGTTGGCCCGGATCGCTGGATCGAGTCCTGGGCGGCTGGATCCGGTGTCCATGCGGCCTGATTTGGAGCTCCGACACTCTCTCGTAGGGCTGGCGAGGGCGGTGGCTGGCCAAGGCGGAGGCGGCGGCGACAGCAAAGGGTGTCGGCACCGGTGCTTTCTATCGCGGTTTTCGCCATCTTGGCAGGGCGGCGCCCACGGGGTGGGGAATGTGTTTGGTGGTGGTCGACGTCCGGGTCGCGGTTGGGCGGACGCGTGCCAAGAGCCGGCGGCAATGATCGGCCGAGGCGTTAGTCGTCTGGCGGTGTTTTGCGAAAGCGCTGAGTCGGTCCGGCTCCGCGTTGCCCGGCCGGAGGGTGGCCGCGGCAGCATTGTCTTGGTCGCTGCGCGTCACGGCCGCGTCGAGGCCCCTCTGAAGGGGTTACTGTGGAGCGGCAGGACAACGGCGAAGGCAGTGATGGATGGCAAGGGGCCTTGCTTCTTGGCCCGACGTTCGTGCTTGAGGACTCCTTGGGCGAAAGCCTAGCGACGGTGACACCTGTGGGTGCCGCTTTCCCTGTTGGGGGCGTCGTGTATCCCCTCTTGCACTATCATCCAAGGGTGAAAGCCCGGTCCACTTTGGACGTGCGACGGTGGCGTCATCGGCGTCGCTACCTTCCTGAAGGCGTCGCGTTTTGATTTCGTCGTGGCCTCGATGTCTCCTCGGTGATTGTTCTTCGCTTCCTGGCGCCTCGATGACGCGTGGAGGCGGGTCTTGCTGCGAGAAGTCGAAGCTGCTGCGTCAAGGATGTGGCTCGGCAATGATGACACGCGGCGAGCCCCCACCTTCATCGTAGGCTGGGGTCTGCTAGGGGTCGGCAAGCGCTGGAGGCGAGGCGTGTTGCCATGATTGGAAGTCGGAGCTGCTCTTTGCGGGGTGCTTGAGCTTGGCAACGATGACCGGTTGCGGCCGCTTACTTCGGGCTCGTTGGTGGGTGGCTTGTGTGTGGACTGCCATGAGAAGTCGGAGCTGCTGACGTCTTCAGCCATGCTCGGCAACGATGACCCATGGTAGTGTGCCGTGTTAGTGCTCAGCTACGTCGTGTGGGTTGGTTAGCCTATCTGGTGCCCTTTTTGACATCTCGTTGGCTAGCCCTCTTGTACATATATTCTTTCGTCTTAATTGAGCGGCAGAGCTACTGCCTTTGTTTCAAAAAAAAATGTAGAGCTGCTTCACTAGGATTCCACAGTGCACTACTGTATTCTTTGTGGGCGCTCACAGACTGATAATGTATAGTACCAAACAAAAACATAGCATCAACTTGTGGATGGGCAAAATCATGCATGCATCAATTGAGTTGAACTTGCGGGTTTGAGATTTGGGATGGTGGCCTGAACACATCAGTACATATCAGTATTGACCTTGTCTGAATAATGTTTCCCAAATTGCCTAGAAAGATTTCTTAGTTTCCTCTTTTCAGCTTGGGCCCTAGACGTATTAAGCATGCCAAACAAAAACTTTAAGCACGCATTCTTCATATTCTGTATGACAAAAATTTAGGACTATTAGGAGTAGAGTAGGCCATTGGAACCTTATTATTTTACTGAACTTCAGAAGCAGACAAGGGTTTGGTCACATCTGCAGCATGGACGGTTTCTTGGTTGTAGGAGGGGCATAGGATGCTCTGTTGCCTCCTACCTTGTCCCCTACCATTTCTTTCTCTCCATTTGATTTGGTTCACGGGAAGCCCAAGGGCGAGGTGAAGTGGGGGATGCAGGACAGTTCAAGAACACAAGCCTTGGGGCAAACGTACAAAAATGCCACCCCAACAGCTATATAAAAGACCAAGTCTACCCTAATCAAAGTTTAATCATGCCCTTACTTTATTCATAATTCATTGTGCCATCAGCACATAAACAATCGCCCCACTGAACTGATGACTGGTCACTGCTACTCTCGTTACAACTATCAGATAGATGCCTTGCTTCAGAATCTGGTTACAGAGTATAAGCAGTGCTTAGGTAGCACATCAGTATGATTTATTGAGCTGTTCACTGTACTTATCCAAGCTGAACGATGTTGCTGTAAAATCCTATTTACTGTAACTAAACAAGCATCCGTCTGCATAAAAACTTCATTTTTCACTCAACAAAATGTTTAGATGTGCATTAGTATTCCAGTTATGCATTGCATTGTAGGGCTGGCCTTTTTTTCCCTATAAAAAAGTTGAATGTAAAATCCAATGGGCTGTACCAGCTTGTCAGAGGTTACTCCTGGATCTGGACCGGTCAATTGAAGCTCCAGTGCTCTTTATTAATTTGCCACTGTTAGTACTTAACTGACTGGATTCACATGGCCATGGGCAGGTGCTGGAGTTATTGGAGTCCGGCGAGATTTCTCAAGATCAATGGCAGATGCCCGAGAAGGAGGAGCAAGACGAGCTGTGGGACTTCGACGATCTCGACGACTTCGAGGACGACGACGATGACAACTACGACGATGAATCCGATTCCCCCTCGATCTCCTCGTCGGCGTGCAGCATCCACCCCAATGATTAGCCCCAAAATATTTGCATCTGTCAGTAGATTATTACTATTATTCAGCCTGCTGATACGATCCTTGCGATTATATCAGTGTGTACATACACCATCCATCCCTAGTTGAGAATATGAAAATCCGGGAGAAAAAAGAGGGAGAGAAAAGAGGATTCAGGCCCGTGGTTTTCAGTTTTGGTGTCACCATCTCAGCTCAGCAGGAATCTTGCCCATCCATAAAACGCCGTCCGTCCGTCTTAACTCCAGCAGCCGATCTGATCAGCTCCTGACAACGACGGATGCGTGCTGGTTTCTTCCCAAACCAGCTGACAGCTTGGCATGCCGGGCGGGCAGAGCCGTGCGTCCCCAACAAACCCTGAAACTGTCGTTGGTTCTTGGCTTTATTTCTGTGGGCGAGCCACGGATGATGCAGAGACTGATGAGAGACCCCTGCCCTGAATTGCAGGAGCCAGGAGCAGTTTGGCTACGAGCTATTAGCTAGCAGCCACATGCTCAGAGGCAAGTCATGTGGTGGGTTTCGGGTTCGGCTCGGTTGCCGTTGGTTAGCTTGCCCAAGTGCAGTTGGGCGGCCCTACACCGCTACTGCTGCCCGGCTGTTCAGGAGCGCGTCGGAAAGTGAGGTGATCAGTGAGCTAACCACGGGAACGGGATCGATGGATCATTGAGCGAACTTGAGACAGGACGAAGCAAGTCGCTCTGTCAGACAACAGGCCTTTTGCCTTTTCATCAGTCGTGTGGCGCGTGTTAGTAATTCGCAGTGAAATCATGCATCATCGCCATATACAACACGACTGAAACTGGCCAGATCGGAGGAATTTATCATTTGCTTAGGAAATTTGTAACTACTACTCTACTATTAATGGCGTTATGATCTAAGTATCCTAACCGTCAGTTTGTCAGCTTCGTCAGGAACAATGAACAGGTGATGATTCAGTCACACATTCGCCAACCATGGCTTGCAAACACCACCCGATCAGCTTGTTAACTAATGCACCTACCACAATATACAGGAGGCTATGACTACGTACCCCTACTTCTAATCAAAGCCGGCCGCCTCCTAAACACACGCTGCTCTAAAAAAAATCTTCTGGAAACAATATCTTGCCTGTTGGGGTGCGTGTGTGAGAGAGAGACGCACACCACTCTGCACTCTGCTGGCCTAGGTCCACCACAAAACGCCTTTTTTCCAGCTCTAGCTGCATCATGAGTTCATGACCCCAATTCTTTGCATGGCATGGACCTGATCGCTGCCCTGCTAGCTGCATGGCTCGCTGATCGCTGCTACGCTAACCTAGACCACTCGTTCGTCGCCAGCAGCTCCGGCTGCGCCCAGATCTACGCGCATAACTTCTCCCACACTGTAGCTCACTGACACAGGCCGAGGACCAGCACCAGCTCGAAAGCTCCATCGCGATCGGCCACGCAACGCGCGCGTCAATGCATGGGATGGGCGCATAAACAAGCAGCACACCAAGGACGAAGCTGGACTGCCGGAGGACCAAAGCCACATATGCAGTGAAGGGGCATCGATAGATCGGCTGCGTGCGTACTGCATACGCTTCCACACCTACAGTCCCAGTGGGGCATGAACAGGAAAGCAGTTGCGCTTGCTTGGGCATTCGTGGTGTACAGACAAACACATCCATAATCCATGATCCATCAGGGCTCAGGCCGAGGATCGAGCCGACCCAACAGTGCATCTGCATAGCATGGTGCCATGGTCCTCGACTCTTGCAACACCTAACGTTCCATGATGCGGAGACGCGGTGCTCATTGGCCTGCCCTCTGGCGCTCCTCGGCCATGATCAGCGCGATGGACCAAGGCATTAGTGTAGTGCCGTCAGTGTCGAGTTATACCCGTTGTTATTACCAGGACCAGCACCATCTTAAACAGTCAGTAGCGATGAAGACGATGAATAATGCTGATAGCACTGTGCTGTAGCCTCGTATCGTTTCAGATCTCACTTGGATTTTCATGCAGAATGCAGTACAGAGTACAAAAATTGCGATAGTTTGATGCCGAACTACTGTAACTCGTTGCAGGCTTACAAACATAATGAGCTTGTTCGCTGATTGGTTTCTGGACTAATAAACCCGGCTGGTACTAATTTGTTGTGAGAGGAAAATACTGTTGGCTGGCTGCTGAATTACGAGCATGGGCAATGCAGCTTGCGCTCGTCCGTGACAGGGGGCGTACATGCAGGCGCAGCCACTAGCACGCTGGATTCAACATCCACAGTTGTTGACTGTGACAGAATGGGGCCAAAAAAAACAGAGTTGCACAACGAACGGTTTCATGCTGGTGGTTACCTGAAGGACAGACAGCGGTGTAGATGCATGGGGGCCTAAGCTGAAAAGGATGCTGGCTAGGCTAGAATAGTAGTACTGCAACGCTGCTAGCACGCACAACAGAGATGACTGCTGATGGATTCTCATTCTTCTTGATAGATTTGTTTATGTGATGGAATCTGACCTGTACTGTATGCTGCTCTTCATAAAATTTGCTTGTCTTGCTTGGAAATACTAAATGTTAATAAGTGTGAATGATTGATTGATTGATGAGTAGTTGAATTCATCAGTATTCAACTTCTTATACAAATATGACATGTTCGAATTCAATACGGCTTAGAATACCTTACCTTTTTAATTAATATATAGACGGCAGGTCCTGTTTACTTTAAAATTTACGGCTTGGAATACGATTATATGACAATTCTACTATAGTTATTAAAAGAAGCCCATGTTTAGGAGGGCAGGACTTAAGATGGCTTCTCTGATGTCTGAACCTGCATGTGCATGGAAACGAAATTAACAATCAAACCCATATTGTCATTTAGTTTTTGAGAAAATAAAACGCAGATCGGCCGGCCATGCCAAGCACGGACATGAAATTGCTTTTAAAAAAAGCATGGACACGAAAGATTCCCGAATCTCAGGGCGGTGTGTTCATGCACTTCCAGACTTCCAGTCTTCAGATGTTGGTTTGGCAAAGCTTTCTGCTGAACAAAACATGCAACGCATTGTGTGAAGAGATAATCAAGTGCAGTGCAGGCAACCTGCACTGCACAAGGACAATAGCCACCGATCGACCAAGCAGCGTACAGTATCCAGGCAACTGATCCTGTCGGTAATCAGCAATTCAGCACGCATGGAAAGAATCTTCAGATAAGACAGCAGCGAGTTTTAACTGACCGGCAGGGTATGTGCATTGTTCCTTACCACTGGGATTAGCTGTAACACATGTGCGCTTAAACACACAGGAGGGTAGGAGACATGAACAGATAACCGAGTAGAGTAATAAGAGTAACTGACGACAAATGATAAAATTTTTCTGCTGACAGAGATGCAGCAATGGCTGCAAGCTGACATTTTGTTTCGACACCGTTGCTCTGAAAGAACGTGTTAGTCGCACGATATTTTAGTCCAGGCACATACATCGTGTTCGTTCATGTATCATCTCGGCTTCATTTCATCCATATGGCTTGGTGTGTGATTTGAGTTGCAGAAACGAAAACAAAATCAGGCAAGATACAACTTCGTGTATTGATGAAAAGAAAAAACTATGACTGTCTGTATCAACTTATCTTCCCTTTCTAACCGTAATGATGGTTATCTGACTTCAAATTTGTGTAAAAAGTGGCAAGTTCAGATTGTAATCTCATCAATTCAAATCAAAACCCAAAAAAAGGACAATTCTAGTTCTAGCGCCCGGACATCCAGCGCACTCGCACGTATAGAACGGAACTCACCCCTGTCCTCCGTTCCCCAACGCACCCCATTTCCCCACCGTGCCCTTATCCCAAAAGAGTATGAAACACTTCATGTACAACATTGCAAACATATGAAAAAACTATGTAGTGCAACATCGGGTATAAAATACTGCAACATCACAAAAAAATGTAGTGTGGAAAACATGCACTGCAACATCGAAAATTATATACTGCAACAACGGAAAATATGTACTGCAACATCGAAAAAATATGTAATGCAACGTCGAAAAATATACTGCAACATCGAAAAAACATGTACTGCAATATCAAAAAAAAGATGTCCTGTAACATAAAAAATTATGTGCTGCAACATCGGAAATTATGTACTACAACATCTCAAATAGTAGTACTGCAACATCGCAAAAAACATCTCTTACAACGACCCAAAAATTCCATTACAACATTCGGAAATCATCTGTTACAACATACCAAAAAATCCATTATAACACGGGAGAAACAACAAAAAAAAACGTACAAAACAGCCCCTGGCCATCACCTTCGAGCTCGCCTGAGGGAGGAGGGAATAGGACCCAGAGCTCGCTGGAACCCTAGCCACCGCTGCGTCCCTCAGATCCGGAGGAGGAGGAGGAGGAGGGCTCAGATCTAGTGGAGGGGGAAGAGGAGGAGCGCTCAGATCCAGAGGAGGAGGACGAGGAGGAGGAACGCTCAGATCTAGAGAAGGACCGACCTACCTCGTCAAAGCCGCCGCCATCGTCCTCGTCTCCAGTGGGGGTCACGGAGGGAGGGAGGGAGGGGTGGCAGCGACCTGACGCGCGAGCACGGTTTCCATGGGGGTGGCCCAGAGAACGGCGCGTGACGCGACAGCGAGTGGATGCGGAGGAGTGGGAGGAGAGCGGGCGAGCGGAGCGAGCGAGTGGGCACGGGGGGCACGGGATGGAGGGGATAAGGAGTCGGTGGGCGCGCTCGGTCGAGTCGTCCATGTGCGGGTCTGTCCGGACGGGACATCATTATCGATAAACAAAACGTGACTATACGCAAAAGAAGTATTGATAAACCCTGTGCTAATCGGCCCATAAAGCCCAACAGTAACTTTCTTCCACACGTTGTGGGCTCGCTGCAAACCGCGGCACCACGCGCTTGTTTCTCGGCCCATATAGCCCACAGGCACATCCTTCCTCCACGTATTGGCACGGCAGCGGCGCCGGAAAGCCGAACAAACCAGAGACGAGAGACCTCTAAGTTTCCAAACCCCTCCTCGACCTCGGCCTATCC